TTCGAAACCACTATATCCAAATCTTTAGAGTCTTTGATTGAATTGATGAAAGGTTAGGCATAGGATACAACCTAACTATTCACAAGATTTCTAGACAACATTCACTCATTAATTTCAAGTTCGTCCTTGCTATCTATGTCGCAGTCAAAACTATTATAGAATATTGTCAGATTTCAGGAGGTTTCTCTAAGATGGAAACCTATTTCGGTAACGTAGATAGTAAGAACGAGCTTCACAGTAATGAATGTAATTCAAAAATATTGTGAATAATAAGATTTAACCCTACCAAATGGATAGCGGAGTGTGACCCGTAACTTTCTTGTAATGCAGTTGATCGAGTTCATATTAGTACTTGCAATCATAGTTTTTCAAGTGAAATCTGTGGTAAAAATTCTGCGGAAAGTGGTTAAACTTCTCCTGAGCTTTCATAAATTTCGGGACTTGTGACTAGAACTGTGTATTTAGCTCTATATATATATATATCATCGTTTTCTATCAAGATAAGAAAAAAAATATTGCAATTGCCAGTTAATTGCCCACCACCTTCTAATTGCAAGCAAATATATCTGGTTCGATGGACCAAGAAAAAGATTTCCAACCAAAGATTGATACAGAAAACGATGGTGTGGTTTCCAGCAGCGCGACAGTGATTGATGATGATGATGATGGTATACTTATTGCGATGGGTTACAAGCCAGAGCTTAAAAGAGAATTCAGTTATCTGAGTGCTTTTGGACAAGCATGGGGGTCTCAAGGTCTGGCTCCCTCGATTGCTGGCTCATTGATCTTTGCCCTTGGTTCAGGAGGCTCGGTAGCTGCGATATGGACATGGATTGTAGGCTGTACACTCTTGATTCCTGTCGCTCTCGCTCTTGGAGAAATGGGCAGCAGTATGCCCACTTCTGGTGGTATCTACTTCTGGGTAGGAAAACTGACACCCATCAAATATCGACCCTTATTCTGCTGGGTCAGTGCATACATGATTACACTAGGATACATTATGTGCTACGCCAGTACGGTCTACGCTACGACAGGAATGTTTTTGGCCACAATTAGTATGGGCACCGATGGAACGTATGTTTCAAATAAGTACCATGACTATGGCGTTTATGTCGGATTGTGTATTATCACATGTGCTATTACTTCTTTTTCATCACGAATTCTGTCTAAACTGGATGAATTTTATGTTTTCTATCAAGGATTTCTATGTCTTGCTTTGATTCTCGCGATGGCCATTGCAACACCAAGTACATACAGAAACTCGGCCAAGTTTGTTTTTATCGATTTCCAAAATACAGGCTACTGGACAAACAACGGTTGGGCATGGCTTCTTGGTCTTGTGACACCAGTCTGGGTCGTCTCGGGATTCGAATCGGCTTCAACACTGGCCGAAGAAGCTTCGAATGCACGAAAAGTTGTTCCATTTGCAATGGTCTCCTCGTTGCTAGCCTCGCTCTTCATTGGTACAGGTATCATTATCACATTGATGTTCACCATGGGTACAGATATCCTCGCTCTATTGGAAAGCAAGTTCAAACAACCCGTTGGACAAATGCTTTACAATAGTCTTGGAAAAAAAGGTGCAGTTGCACTCTTCTTTTTCATGTTCTTGGGTTTCGTTTTCAACTGTGCAAACCTCGTGTTTGCCTCTTCCAGAGAAATGTTTGCTTTCTCTCGAGATGGTGGCTTTCCATTTAGTACACATCTGCGAATATTAAGCACATGGAAAGCACCCGTTCGATGTGTTTGGGTATGTGGTTTCATTTCGGTGATTATCGGATTATTGATGTTGGCAAATTATACTGCCATTTCATCCGTGTTCAATATTACTATAATTGGCATGTACTCCGGTTATATTGCTCCTATCATGTCAAGACTCATCTGGCGTGATTTCACGCCAGGTGTCTTTTATCTGGGACAATTTAGTATCGTCAACTCTGTTATTGCAGTTCTATGGATGGTCTTTATTATCGTACTTCTCTTCTTTCCAAGCTATCAGCATCCCAATGCAGCAAAAATGAACTATGCGATCGTTGTGGTTGGCTTTGTGGTCATTTTTTGTCTGGCATACTACTATTTCCCAAAATACGGCGGCAAAACGTTCTTCCATGGACCTGTTAGAACTATCGACTCGAAGCAAGAAAACTCCGCTGAATTAATTATTACAAGGTTTTGATTAAACAGTTGCAGAATTCTTACCAAACAGATTTCAGAATTTTGCACACCTATGTTTTTTTTTTTGCATTGTTAGTGGAATAAATAGTGAATGGTGATATAGAATTCTGTGATATGTTAAGAATTTTATTTAATTATTTAATGGCACAGGTGTTGATGACTCTGAAACACACAAAAGATCTAATTCTTGTGGAATTTCAAAATCTGATTAGAATTTAAAATTATCAGCAGAATTTTGCGAGTATTCTATTGATGACAAAGTATATGAGAGACGAATATTGGACATCACAATTTTGTTGTTGTTTTTTAAACTCTGAATAGAATTCTGTTAAAACTGTTGATTTTTTAATAGCTTCACTAGAATTTTGTTTTCATCAGTAAAAAGTTTTGGAAGACTTTGTCTTCTTCTTACAGTTACAGAATTCTATTTGAATTCTGGCGACTCTTTTAAATTCTTAGTAAATTTTTGTTTTCCGAAGAGCGTTGTATGTGATAAAACTTATCTCCTGACACTAAGATTTGAATTTTGATTAAATTTTGTTGTATTTTTTAAATTCTTGGTAGATTACTATTTCAAGAGAATCGCTTTTGTCTAAATGACGTTGATAAAGAAAATGCTGCTGTAGTCTTCATTATGTTTGGTTTGCTATCTAATATGGACAAGTCCACAAAATTCTGAATTCTGCTTGGTAGACATTCTGCAGGCTCTCACATGGGTCGCTCTATATAAATAATAAAATAAATATGATTACTGCCACAGAGGCTGCAACCGTAATTCGGAATATTTTTTTCAAGTTGATCGAATCAAAAACTTACAGTTTATGATTCTACTGTATTGAGTTATTGTAAAAACATATAAAGATAAAAGTTATATACATACCAATTTTTTCTTCCAAGTTTTCAGTCAAAAGCTTTCTTTATAGAATGCTTCATTTGAATTCAACCAATAATCTTACATAAAAGAGTACAATTGACTTTTGTGTTTTCTTGCGACAATCAAAAACTAAATCAGAGATGGACCAGTCACCTTTTTTTTCTTCCCAAGCCAAGTCATTCCTTAAAAAAAGCTCAAGTCAAGTCGAATCAAGTTATCATGAAAAAAACAAACTTTTGAAATTAAGTCTCAAGGCATTCCTATTAGCTTTTCTCAAATGTCGAGATTTATTTATTATCAATTCATCAAAAATACGTTTCTGAGTATATTTTAGCAATGTTAACGTTTCTTCTATCTGTCTTGAGATTTCAGTCCTGTACTGTCGAAATAGAATACCACTGTTACAAAATATTCTTTCGACAGTTGACGATATTGCAGATATATTCAAAATCTCCCTTGACAATTCGTTCAATAATTTATGTTTTATTTATGATTCACTTAAAATAAATTCATTTGAATGATTATGATCATGTCTAAGAAAATTATTCATATAATCTTTGATAAATATAATATTACATATATTTATGAATAAAAAGAACATGAAATATTTAATAGTTTAAAAACATTGATTTTTGGATTTTAATGAAATTCAGTAACACAGGATTTTTATAAAATGAATGCGACAATTAAATAAAACTATGCTTGAAATAGATACGTTCGATAGAGCTTATTGATTACTGTATTTGGAGGGAGAGTTGATTGTTGTTTCAAACACTAGCAATATGAGTGAGTTTTGTTACGGAATTCTTTCACAAATAAATATAGTTTGTGAACGAACTACCTTGTTTCATAGACATCTAATCTTTATTTAAAAATATATTCCACTACCATCTTTTACATAAACTTTCGAGTAGGCCATTAGAAGAAAGATTCTATCTCTCCGAAATAGTTAACGTTTCTCTAAGTTAGAATAGAAAAACCTTCCAATACACAAACTATTGATAGTGCTCTTTCCTATATGTGGACAATCGATGGCTAGACATGATAATATTTTCTTCCCTATAATCTCATTTTAATGCATTGAAGAAAACATTTTGTATCGAGTGATTCGAACATTGAAGTTGTTCCCTTAGACAGATGTCTCTATAGTTGATTGGTCTTATTGTTTTATATACATCCACATGATGACGGGTGACAAGTCACCAATCACTATTTGTCTTGCATGACACATCTAATAGCATGCTGACTATGGATGTGAGTGTTTGTGTGAATGTGAGAGAATAGAAGGCTCACACCCTTCATTTTATTTCTTTTCAAGAAACTTTTACTGTTTTCCTGTAAATCAATGAAACGCTTGCAACATATTATCAGTCGACCTTCTTACATTTTTTTTTGTTTTTATTAATTATAAAATTTAGCAGCAGTTTGAAATTTAGTTTACTGTCAAAGTTTTACATTTTCAAAAAGTAAATTAAAATTTATAACTAATAGTAAACTTTTAATTTATGTTTTCAAACGTTTATCCATATAAAAAAAATAATTATTGTGTGTTTTTGCCATGAAATTTTGCCTTTTTAATCTCACAGTTAATTGAAAATAATATGAAAAGCATATTAGAAAAATAAGACAAACCTTAAAATTAAATGACGGCAAATAACAACGTGTATCTATTACAAAACTAAGCCTTCGAAATATAAGATGCGATAGTCATCCTCCTAATCATACATTCTTTCTTCATTACACTACTTTTATCATCCTATTTTATTATATCACTGTGTTTTTTTTTAGTCAATTGAATACGAAGAGTCAAATTAGAGCCTCATAATCGAAGATCTCTAATAGCAACGTACTGTGAAAACAAACACACCCAAGCAAACAGAATTGAATTATTGTCATTATTGGGTTATTCTTCGTCATTCTAAATTTATCAATTCACTATTCCAGTGGCCTGATGAAGTTCTCGTCATTTTTCTTAACTTCGTTGATTTTATTAATTCCAATTTCTGCTGTAAAAGTACATGTTTCGGTTGGCATAGGTAACGATAAATTTCATTCTTAATATCATAGATTGCTTAACTTCACTTTCTTGAAATCTAATTTAGATCAACCTCTTAATGAATCGGGAATTGATGCTTTTGTTGGTTCATTTCAACATAATGCAATAATTCATGTACCTCCTAATACGAAGGGTATTGACACGATTGTTATTACTAAGCAGAGTTCAACGTTGGCTTTAGTTAACATACGTTTAGTTATTCCTTATGGTGGTTATGTATGTGCATTTGGTAATGATGGTGTTAAATTCGATTATGATCAATCAACTAATCGATTAGTTTATGAACCTTGTAAATTATATATTACTGAATCACAAGGTAAATTAACTTTACATGATCCTACTAATTATTGCCCGATTTGTAATAATATTGGTGTGTTTGATGGACTTGTATTTAAACCCGGTTCACCGATTGGTTCAATTGACGATTTCATTGGTACTTTTCATCATTCTTCGATAAATGGTGGTGAAGATATTGCAGTTATTGTTAAACAAACTTCAACAATAGCATTACTTTCTCTTAGTGGTATTCTTCCTGGTGGTAGAAATTGTTCATTAAACACTATTAAAGTTGAGTATGTTCCTAATACAATTCCTCCACGACTATTTGCTAATGGTTATGCCGATTGTGCATTATACTTTACACCAGAAAAAGATGGTAAATTAACTTTACATGATCCAACTTTTAATTGTGCTCGTAACAATTGTGGTGTATTTGAACTATGGGAAGGCTCAATTTTTCAAAGAGATTAATTAATTATTCAATTAATTGAATTTATTTACTATTATTAATCATGATATAATTTCTTTCTTTCTCTCGAATAATTCACTTTAATATATCTCTTTGTGTTTAAGCTATAAAAAGTAAACATAGAAATATAAATGGAAACTGTTTGATATTCTTCAAAGCAACATCATAATTATTTTTTCAGACTGACCAGACAGATATTTTATTGTAAATATTGTCTGATTAACTAATAATAATACTATATTGAAGGTGTAGGTGAGAATGTATCAATCAAAAAAAAATACAGATTGATCTGTATATCTAAGATACAAATCAATCTACTAGTCTCAACTTCTGCTTTTCAGCAATCGATCTTTTGTCGAAATTCATACCCGCACCGATACTCACACCCTTTCGTTGCGAACAACTCATATCGACTAATTATCACTTTCCGAAAGCTCTAGTTGCAAGTCAACATATATGTTTCAGTTTTTAACGGATTCATAAGACTACGTCCATTCTGTCTATTATATTTCTGTAAATCAAGCAGAGAAGTTAGTTTATGTTTCCTAGCATATAATTATACTTCATCACCTATTAAATATTGGCTTTTGGAAATAGATCCATAAAATGTAAAATATAAGAAAAATGGAAGAAGTTGTTATTAGAATTAAAACAAACGTAAACCAAAAAACAACAACGAGATAAATGCATAAATCGATAACAAGAGCCACGAAGAACAGGATCATCCATATACCAAACAATAGAATTGATAAATTACTCCCTCGACGACGATTATTTTGCTGTTGTTGTCGAACAAAAGACCAAACTGGAGCAGAAAGCCATTTATGGACTCTATTAATTTTATGAATAAGTCGATCACGAAAATTCATTATATTCAGATACGATATTGTAATGTGTATTATTGCTCAGCGATATTCCTATGAAAAAATTAAAATTAAAGATGAGCACGAATGTATTTGATGTATTTTTCTGAAAAAAGAACTTGTATTTGCTTCTTGCTTGTGCAAAATACACTTTTTAGCAGGGATGACAGAATGCTTTCAGGATCATGAAGGCTAGTGAGAAAAAGATGGATGGGTGATTCTAAATTTCGTTTTCATCAACACTCACACTCTCAAACAGACAAGGTAATCTTGCAATTTAGCACGACTTTCGAATTACTCAGTAGTCTTTGTTCCAGTTAGAAAATCCAATAGGGATGAATGCATCTTCTTTTACGCGTTGACCACGCAAATATCGTGCTTCGCACTGCATTCCATATTCGATTCGACCTCGAATACGATCTAGTTACTTTTCAAGGAAAATGGATAGCATAAAGAATGTGAAAGTAAAGATTCCGTGAAATACGAACGTTGACACGAAATATTATGTCAAAAGACTACAGCGCCAAAGTTTTATTACACATTGCAGCAATATAATAGAAAAGACATATTTCAAAACTGCATGGACAAGAAAAGCAACAGTCATTCTCAGGAGCATGTCATCATAAAAAGAAATTCATTCAGCGAAAAAAAAATACTCCTGAGCACAAAACGGGTTTCCTCGTAAAATGATAAAGTCGTCATGTAGATAAAGGCAACAAATGTGAAAAAATGTGCTTAATTATCTTTGTCGACGGCGAGAGTTTGTGTTGTAATACTTTTCTGTGAAAGGGAAAAAAAGACATTGACATTATTCGTAGGGGTGCTCCATTTATATTTATAAAAATTTATTAAATCCAAAAATAAATTCTGGAAAATTTAAATTGAAAATAAATTAAAATTTCTTGAGTGTGTTGGGTGACTGCGAATGTGAGTTGATACTTGACTCACGTTCACACCCACACACCCTAGTCTCGACAACTATATCGAAAAAAACCTGCTCAACAGCTCTCTAAACAAGCCATCAAGGGGATAAATTCTATCGATCATTTCAGAATTAAGTTTATATTTTCCGTAAAAAGTTTGTTGAGACTATCGTCTAAAGAATTGTTGAGAAACTTGTCGCGATACATGTCAAATTTTTACTCTGTTGGAACTCGTTTGTCTGAACAACTTTGGAAATTGCTCTCGACAGTTCTTTCGACAACACGATCGATAACTTCCTCTACAACTGTTTTAACAAGTCTGTTAACGATCGTCGATCCCGTTTTGAAAATTTTGTATTCAACATGCTGCATTTGCCACGATTTCAAGAAGTATCTGAACAATCTTCTCGACTATACTTTAAAGGAGAGTCTCAATAACTATTCAGTGAAAAATGAAAACTCGATTCAAACAAAATTGACAGAATTTATTTCCTTGATACCTCATTTAGAGAACTATTGAGAGACGCGAATTTCGATGGAATATGAATTTAACAGCTAAGGAATAATAAAGACTGCACTTAGAGTACACTAGAGCTACCCTATGGTACCATAGAATAGAGCGAGAGCCTGTATACTTTCGCAAGATAGGACATAGGGCGAAAATTAGTCGCTTGTTGAAGAACTCTATCTGTTCCGTTGGAATATTTTTATCATACATTTTTTAAATGGAATCATCTCAAAGATACTTTCGAAAATCACATTGATACAACGAGCATCCTTTCAACATAATCTACGTATATCCATTGATTTTCTCACTTTGCAATTTTATTCGTTTTCTTACTTTGAAACAATCACGATAAAGTGGTGAGTTGCAGCCGTACTATGATTGTTTACGTTTGTCAACCAATAGAAATCTGAAATAAGGTAAAACTATTGATAAGGATGGCATGATCCTTCAAAAAAAAGACTAATCAAATGTTTACTTGTCTCAAAATAGTTGAAATGACTCAAAGTAAAACAGAAGAAATTGTTGTCTTATCTCCAAAGAAAGATCACAAGAAAGTGGGCATTTCGATGGGAGACATACCACATTATACGTGACCTTCTTCGTATTGTTTGAAACTTTCAGGAATTATAGAGTTCCAAGAATTGATCATTTTGATTTCAAACTGTGTTGCGTTCGCTATTTCTTTCAGATGGAAACAGCTTATACAAAATGCTGGTTTCTCAAAAAAGCAAGGATCGTAAAATGTCTAGGTATTTATACTGTGTGAGCCTGTTTACCATCTTTTATTTAGATTCAATTAAAAATCTAACCACATATTCTAACAGCTCAAGGATTGCATTGTCGGACGACGTTTTAATTCATGACTATTTCAACTAGAATGAGGAGAATATGCAGAACCATACTTTTACGACAGATGAAGAAGTTACCAACATGGGTTGTGGATGTGGGTGTGAGTCAGCTCTTCAGCCACACCCACATCCACAGCCTCACTCCTACACCAGCATCTACACTCATTTTTCTTTGGTGCTATAAATCGAACAGCTGTCTCAGTCAATGACTTCATTGACCAATTTCTGCGCACATCTACATTAATAGGTCTACGACAGTTCCATATCAATTCCATCTTGAGAACTGTTCTAACAGTTCTTTGATAGGAACTAATCTATTCCAAGCGATCAGCTCAGATCAGAGAACTGATCCATACCGAGTTAATAAGATTCCTATAAACTTTCAATGGCAATCCTGGAGAATAACCATAAGTCTCCCAGAGCTATTCTGGGGGTACCCATAAATCTTCAAGTCCTATTCTAGTGAGGGTACTCATAAGTCCTCAAGAGCTATCCAAAGGTGATACCCATAAAACCTCAGGTTCTATTCTAGGAGAGTACCCATAAGTCCTCAAGTCTTATCCTAGGGGATACCAGAGATCCTGAAGGATTAGCCTAGGAAGGTTTCCATAGACCTTCAGGATTATCCAGTGTGGATATGGGTATAATTCTGGAGTTGAAGCACACAACCACAGTCAAAGGCACATCCACTCACATCCAGATGCACATCCACATCCTGATTCGCCGAGATATGTGTGACGAAGTTGAGGAGAGAAGTGCCCGTGAGATAATGATAATCGTTTTATTTGGTCTCTTCCTACAACAAATCGTACCGTTCACACACAGAACATACCCTTATGCAGAAAAAATAGACAATGGACGGTAGTCAAGCGTAGCACCCAAGTAAGCAAAAACTAAGTGAAGACGAACGACATGAGTAGTTTGAAATGTCTGCAATACCCGTTAGATCTAGTCTGAAACGTCTTCTATACTCGTCGTGACTAGCTATTCTGACAAAAAACGTTCTACAGCCCGGTCTTGACTAATCCTGAATGTCTTTGAAATCCGTCATGTCTAGTCTTTTTGTCTATCCGCCTCGTTCAGACTAGTCCACAGAACACAAAATGAATAAAAAGATGGAGCCGAAAAGTGGATTTGAACATTTGACCTGACAGTATTCAGGACTTGACGAGTATTATGACGGCAGACAGTACTGTAATGATGGATTGACGTCAATTTTAATTACCCGAGTAGCAAAGAGACATGTCCAATTGTTATATAATCACACACTGATCGAAAACAAGTGACTTGACTAGTCTGCTGGAATTCCACTCCGCCTCTTTTTTCTCTTTTCTCACGAAAAAGTAGCTTGTTGATAAAACCAGCCATGATTATATTGATTAATGTTACCATACCGTACAAAAAGATCACATAACACAAACTGACGTACCCATCAGTCGAGATGTATAGCTAAGAATGCTAAATTATATGATTTTAGTAAATCAACTTCAGCGATATTATATATTCCTAAGTGGGGCCTAATCTTTATAGATCTCTAGTGGAGGCAAAATTACTCAATTATATTTCCAATGTGAACTTATCATTCTCTCACAATCTTGACAAGTTGTTCTGTTTAAGGTCGACATGTAAAATGATAATATCGAGCTTATTTTTCTTGGCCATTTTTCTCAGTTCCAGAGAAGCTTGTAATGTGAATCTAACAATAGGTAGCTAACCCGTAGAGTGACGCATGCGTCAAAATAAGAAAAAGTTTCCAGGATGGCTAGATCTATCCTAGAATCTTGTCAGATTCGATAGGATTCCTTCGACAAGATAGCTTCTGATAGTATAATGTCATAAATTGAAGATTTCTGCTCATCA